GAATGATTGCTTATGGTCCTCAAATCAAGGAGTTCATGCCTTCAGAAATTTTTTTTAAAAAGACAAAAATGTTGTAACTTGAATCACATCACTACATTGTAGTGAGAAGCATCAAGTAATGCAGAGGGTAAGAGCTTGGATTGCAGAATGGGTTGAATTAGTGCAGGAAGCTGAGCATAGCATCAAAATGCCTGGGGTCAAATCCTGTCTTTGCCATCTATGGGCTAATTCAGCAAGATCTCTAGATGCTCTGTGCCTCTGTCCCTCAATCTCAAATGGGATAACAGTATCTACTTCATAAGATTGTAATAGGTTAAAGGAGATAATGCATCTACAACAGTTGGATCTAAGTTAGAATCTAAAGAGAACAAACCACTTAATAATCCCTCTCCGATTTTAGCCACCTTTGGACTTCCACAACATTTAACTTGGCATCTGTACCCTCATTTTCTACTAGTTTTCTTTATCCTTTGTTCACTTGTGTAGTTTTAATTTAAAGCCAGAAACACACGTCTGCCTATGTAATATCACCTTATTGCCAGTGAGGAAGACGAGTCCTTTTGGGAAAATCAAGAGACTAGGCCTTAATTTTTGCATTTCCACTTATTGGTTGTGTACATTTCTGAAAGTCCCTGTGAACTTCAATTTTCTCACCTATAGGCAAAAGGTTTATATCACCTTTATGGCACCTCCCAGTTCTAAAATGTAAAGACCTTGTGGCTTATTTGTAGTTTTTTTCAAAGTCATTGATATAAATTTAATCTTGCTTGACCACCTCATATAAACTTTCTTCCAAACTGTTCTCTTATATTAAACTTTGTCGTCTAATTTCTATCACTTATCCTTTTCCCACAAGAGTCCAACTAATGTCACCCCTTGTTGTAGTTGTGGCCCTCCACAGCTGCAGCTCTTCCCTGAATGGTTCAACTAACATTGAAAAGATTCTAGTGGAATTGACTCTTGATGAATCTGTGCTAATTCTTGATAATTGCCTTATTCATGACTAAGTGCTTGCATGCTCTCCATTAGAAAACTCTGTTCTGGAAAGTTACCAAAAATATGTATATCATGCTTATTAATTTATGTTTGTTCTTGATTTATAGTTCCTGAATTTGCCCTTACACTCCTGCCTTTGCACTCTCTGACAGTCCTCCCATTATTGATTTCTCAAAGATTATGGACAGTGATTAATAATTCAATCTGTGATTTCTTCCAGAACTCTGCACTGGAAGCAAACTCAATTACTAAGATTATGAGTTTTCTTTTGCTCTTCTCTCCCACTTTGATGTGAGATAACTTTTCCATATTACTGTATGACCATTTCCAGGTTAGGAAATGTTCTCACTGAGGAGACTGAGGAAACAGGAGGGATGAGGCAGGGTCTTTCTTTTCCTCACCTGGAACCAACGTCCCTGACCACAAAACAATGAAAACAAGAAAACCCACTTTGCTCCTTCTTCACATTCTGTGCTCTTGGGCTCCTGTGCTTCACAATCAGCCTTCCTGATTCTCACAGGCCCATGCTCATCTTTCATGGTGTCCCGAGGGAGCCCAAGAACCCAACATGCCAACAGCACCCAGCCCTTGTCACTAGCTCCTTTAATGCTCGAATTAATTCCCCAGTGCAGGCTTGCAACCCAATGGGTTCTTTGGAGACCTTGTATTTTCTGTCTTGTTGAGGCTACTTTGTATTGTTTGAATTATTTTTTAAGTCTTTCTATCTCTCCTAAACTATATACCTTTTTAGAGGTTCAATCTATGAGGAGCAAACTCTACATTTAAAACATTTTTTCTAAAGCATATATAACTAGACCCTGTTTTTTTTTCCTCCACTCCTACTGATAATCTAATTGGGTAACTTTTTCCCAAAATTTTACATTACTTCCCCATCCCAAAATGGTTCTTATTTTTAAAATGATGTCCAGTGTAGGAGTTCCCCTTATTTCTCCGTGCTTTCTCAGAGAAACCATATGGCCAGGAAAGAAAGTCAGGAATGTTTTTGATGCCCAGTTTTTAGGCAAATGAGACAGAAAACATCCAGCTGACAACTCTCTGAATACCTGCCAACTCTAGTTTTAAGTTGTATGTTAAAGGGAAAGTTCCTGCTAATAGCAATTTGGCGATTTCTTGTATGTACCACATTGCTTTGGTTCCTCTCGCCTGTTCTTCCTACCAGGGTGCCTTTCTGTGCTTCAAACTTCAGATTCATAGTCATACCGGAGAGGGTCAACAGGAAGTTACAAGAGGACAGGCGTGGTACTTAACGTGAAAGACCTGCTTCTAAATCTTGATTTTTGTCCCTACTTTTTAATCCACCATAAAAGGCTGTAGTGAATATCAAAGGATTTTATGTATGTAATATCCAGTACACTGGTAACTGGTTTTACAACAGAATGCTTTAAAGATGCATAAACCAATCTATAAACTTTATTCTTCTCTAGAAATCAGGTTAGGGTAGGTGAGGGAGGGAAAGGAAGGGAGATTTATAATCTACTGACTTCTTTGGTGATTACTTTTTTACATGAAGCATGTTTACTCTTATGATCCAAGGAAACAAATTTTAAAAGAAACAGCTCACCGTGATAAAAGCAGTTCAGCACTTTTGCTCTATGATTCAGTAGGGGTGATACAATTGAGAGTATGCTTCCTTATTAGTGTTACATTCTGATGTTTTCAGCTCACTGAACATGCCTCCTTTTCGAAGAGTAGGTCATAGTTTCCTCCTTAAACACACACACACACACACACACACACACACACAGAAACTATCTTTTAAAATGGCAACAATTGCAGTTTTATTCTAACCCACCACCTTCCCAACAGTGCTACAGCTGACAGTTCCTCTTCCCAGTACAGAGAATCATTGCCATACTGCCATTATTATGCCTAGTTCATTCTCTTGTACAGCCTGCCTTGCTAGTAAACTGTTCTTAGATATCTTGGGGAGGTAGACATGAAGCCACAGGATGCTATCAGTCAAAAGACAAGAGCTGTTTTCTTAAGCAGCTTCTCATTACTTGTTCCCCTTCGATGAACAGGGGCTCACAAATTTCGTATTCTTTCACTGTGGTGCCTAGTTGCCAATGTCTCTGGGCATTTTTCAGGTCCTTTCTTTCTCTGCCTCCCTGAGGGGTTCAGGTCTTGATAAACATAACATGAAGATGAGAAACTGTAGCATCAAGAGGAGATGGCCTTTCCAGCATAACCCAGAAACTCCATAATCAAGCCAAGCCTATGCACAGACTTGTCACTAGTCTGCCACAGTGGTACATAAACCCAAAGGAAGCCAGGTACTCAGTACAGAGGTATGGATGGTACTAGCTCAATGCAGCTCAGTGCCATCTCATTCAGGCTGAGTAAACAAGCAACATTCCTATGTCCAAATGGGTCAATATAGGCCAGGGTCTCCTGGTTCTGAGGAAACAAGAAATAAATGCTCTAACAGCCTTCATCTATCCCCCGCCACCCATCCACTCACTTCTATTCCCCAAATTTTACTCATCTCCGAAAATATTTTTTAAGTCTTTACCAAATGCAAAATGCAACAAAGATTTGGGTCTTAAATTTGCATTATATTGCATGCTAAGCACCAGACTTTCTAGCTGTTCTATTTGTAGTTAAGGAAGAGGTAGCAGGATTTGAAAAGATACAGAAAACATTATCGATAGCTCTGGGCTATATCAAAAGTATTGGTTTCATAGCAGGCCAGGTCTCCAAGAACATGCTGTGTAGCATAGAATTTTGGCTGTTGGTTTTCTTTGCCAATTGAAATGATGATTAATCAGGACTCAGATGTCAGTTGTTTTATGTTATTTGTGCTCATTGTTAACAGCTGCCTATTTCAAGCTGTGCTTCCTACATGTCAAGTATAAATCTGAAACTACAATTTCCAGAAAGAAAATCTCAAAGTACTTACAGAGTCTACTGGAATATTGAATGTCTTGGATTAAAGTCCACTTAGTATATTATGTAACTTAACTATCATCAATATAGAGATAGACTTGTTCGGAATATGTGATGTAGCCAGAAAAAATAAAAATAGACTTATTATTAGGTATGTATATATAATCTGTGTAGATATTTTTAAATATATTTTATGCAAATATTCTAGGCATAAAATGGTCCTTGATGAGCTAGTCTCACTCTCCTTTTTTATTCTGTGACAAATAAAAATGGTGGAATATTATTGATAGGTGAATTAAAAGAAATTTAAATTCCTCATTAAGAATAAGTTTTAAACATTTTGAAATAGATGGTTCTTTCTTGCCAAAGTCTTCAATACATCCTTATTTGCTTTATAATCTAAAATACTGTAAGAATAGCATTTATATGCTTTCCTTTCACATAGTCCAAGTAGAAAGAAAATTTTTAAAAGAGAAAGCAAGGAAAATACCAAGTTTTCAGAAGTTTAGAAAAGTATATGCCTAAAATTTGGGGTGGAGCAAATAGAATTGATTTTTTTGTCTTAACCTAGATAATAAATGTCTAATTTGAACTGTCCATGTGGCATACAGTTCTCAAATTAAGCTCTTTCAGAAATTGCCGTTTTTAGCAAAAGAGGGGGAAGTGAGAACTCAACAACATCCAGGCTCTCTCTATACAACTGCAGCCAAGTTGTCTAAAAACTGAATTTAGCCAATTCACTGTATCTCCTTGTCTTTAAAAGAATCCCAGACACTTCAAACAACCACACTGAGGTACCTGAACAGGATTCATCCTAGTCCTGGGTCTAATATAAAAGCTAGGTGGGGGATGGGCAGAGGAGGGAGGTCTGCCTTTCTCATTTCTCTACTATGTCCTTTCCCAAATCATAAACTATTTGCTTGGAGCCTGCTCTCTCATATCCAAAATACAGTATCCAGAAATGTGTCTGGCAAAACATCAAGAAAAGTTTAGCGATCTACAGGTGAAAAGGGAGCTGGGTAAAAGGTCTGGTGTTACTCATTGTTCTTGTCCTCTGGGTTCCTAAAACAAGCACTTCCCCTTTCTCCCTCCACCAGGTGGCAAACCTGCTCAGGCTCTTCCAGATCCCTCAGATAAGCTACGCGTCCACCAGCGCCAAGCTCAGCGACAAATCGCGCTATGATTACTTTGCCAGGACTGTACCCCCGGACTTCTACCAGGCCAAAGCCATGGCTGAGATCTTGCGTTTCTTCAACTGGACCTACGTTTCCACGGTGGCCTCCGAGGGCGACTACGGGGAGACCGGGATCGAGGCCTTCGAGCAAGAAGCCCGCCTGCGCAACATCTGCATCGCCACCGCGGAGAAGGTGGGCCGCTCCAATATCCGGAAGTCCTATGACAGCGTGATCCGCGAGCTGCTGCAGAAGCCCAATGCGCGTGTGGTGGTCCTCTTCATGCGTGGGGATGACTCGCGAGAGCTTATCGCAGCCGCCAACCGCGCCAATGCCTCCTTCACCTGGGTGGCCAGCGACGGCTGGGGCGCGCAGGAAAGCATCGTCAAGGGCAGCGAGCATGTGGCCTATGGTGCCATCACCCTGGAGCTGGCCTCGCAGCGGGTGCGCCAGTTCGACCGCTACTTCCAGAGCCTCAATCCCTACAACAACCACCGCAACCCCTGGTTCCGGGACTTCTGGGAGCAGAAGTTCCAGTGCAGCCTCCAGAACAAGCGGAACCACCGGCGCACTTGCGACAAGCACCTGGCCATCGACAGCAGCAACTATGAGCAAGAATCCAAGATCATGTTTGTAGTGAATGCTGTTTATGCCATGGCCCACGCCCTGCACAAAATGCAGCGCACCCTCTGTCCCAACACCACCAAGCTCTGTGATGCTATGAAGATTCTGGATGGGAAGAAGTTGTACAAGGATTACTTGCTGAAAATCAACTTCACAGGTAAGCAAGAAGCCTCTAACCATTTTCTATGGTGCAAACAGATGATATCAAATAGGAATCAATCTCTGCTTCCACCCAGAAATTGTTTCAGCGCCACAAAAAAATGGTTCAAATTGTTAAACAAGTACTCCAAGACACGATATAATGGTTCCTGGATGTTCTTATTTTTGAGTGAATATCATGGCTGGTACACTAAATGAAATTACATGGCCCCCTGGGGGGTGGGGCAGATTAAGGTAGCTGCCAGATGTGGGCTATGCAACATTTGCTCTCTTTCTTGTTGTTAGCTGTAAGATAAGATACCCATGATCAGAGCATTTAATCTTCTTTAGCAGAACTGACAACTCTGTAAGGAACTTGCACTTCCAAGTCTTCCTTGTGAGTGATTTGAGCAAAAGAATCTCATAACTTTCACAGTCGGTGAGAGAAAAAATATCACTCTTTTCCCAGAGTCAGCCTGGGGGGTGGGGAGGGAAAGGTCATCAGACCACAGAGATTTCCAGGCATTTGGGATTATTTCTTCTGCTATATAGAAACATTTCCATATCAGCATTCGCAGTTGTGGATTTTCTTAAATTATGTCATGAAATGAAACTTCCTGGTAGCCTGAGTATAAGCAAATTGAAGAGTGGTGGAAGTCATTCTGATACAGTAGTGAACACGGAAAAGTGTATTTAAAGTGGCTTTTGCTGCCTCTGTTTACTTCTAAATACGATCTAAATGTTTATAAATATAACGTTGCATTTTATGCATTACTAACATATAAGAAGCACAAAATCTTTAGCTTAGCACTCTCCACTAAGGTACAAGTAATAACAGTGCTTTGAAGTACTGGTTCTGGGGACTTCGGCTTAATTCCAAATCATTAAATGTTAAGTAATATTAGTGGGCACAAAAGATTTTGATGTCAAAAATATATTACAGTGATAAAATGCTTTCATTTGCCTAAATTGCTAATAATCTCCCACAACACTAAGGCATCATTCTAGTCTGCACAGTCTATTTCAATTAATTTATCATTCAAGACATGAAAGTTTGTATGCTCAAATCATACTTCTATTGGCACAAGCAGTAGTTTTCACATCTCCCTTAGAGATAATCACTCAGAAGTCAAATGGCCTGAAAAATCACTAGTAATACTGAGAGAGGTCCCATGACCATTGTTTCCTATTTTAGAATTCTAATCTCTAAATCAGACTCAAGGTAAGCGCAGGAATGACCAGCCTACATTCTTGCACCTCTTTTCTTCATTCTACCCACAGAAATCAATTATGTCAGCATTCCTTCCCATCTGATGGATACCATCTCTTAACATGAGAATGACTATTGGACGTGGTAAAGCTTAAACCTTTTCTGTGCCCTGTATTCTCACAGGTGTATTCCCTATAGAAATAACAAGTGTGTGTGTATGTGTGTGTGTGTGTGTGTGTGTGTGTGTGTGTGTCTACAGGGTCTTGCAGAAGTAACGCCTGCTTGACTATGGTTGGTAGGGTAGAAATATGGGTGTCATAACTTATAGTTTTCATTTGAACATTTCACCTAAAATGCCATATGCTGTGCTTGAGTATGATATTGTTACATTACAGAATTACATGCTTATCATTTTGTAATAAAAGATCTTGTAATAAAAGGGGTATTATTTGTGTGGACTCTGTATATGTAATAGCAAATCAGCATTTATCTCAAAATCACAGATAAGTTCCCACTGACATCTCCAGAAAATAAGAATGGACCATAGAGTCACTAAAAAAGAATACCTTTACCCTAAATGTAAATGAACTCTCTGGTATCTAAATTGTATCTACAATGCACTTAATTCTTACAGATGAATAAGATAAGCATCTCCCCCCACCTTTCTTTCAGGCTACTTTGGAGTAATCACTTATCTTTATTTACTGTATGTCCTAATTAACTCTGTTATCCTAGTTCATGTCTTACTCCTGAGCTTGCAAATATAGCTACTCATCAACAGCTAATAGACAGGAACTCTTAAAAAATTCCAGGGAGCCTTTGAAAGGTGTTTTATGTGACTAAAATATATTTCCTTCTCTTTCCTTTCTATTTTGAGTCTTAAATTGTAAAGAAATATGAAGAAATAAGGCAATAATTTGGATTAAAAAACAAACTTTTTTTGGTCTGCCTTATTCAATTACTGACTGATTCTACAAATCATTTGCTGTGCAGAGCTGACCAGGAAGTGTTACTGTAGTTTTCTCACTTTTCTGACCTTACCAGCTATTCTCCATCTCTAAGACAGAAGGGTGGAAAACAGATGTGAACCACAGAAAGAGAGGGAATTAGTCCAGCCACCAGGTAAATCCGAGAGTTGGACAAGAAAATGCATTACTGTGGGAGGATACCAAGATGCTAAATTAACTAAAATAATGTCCTAACAGCCCTGCCCCCTCTGCCCCTGCCCTGTCTCTGCTGCTCGCTTGTCATCACCTTTAGTCTCCCTCTTTCTCGTTTCACTCTAGCCACCCTTGTTTCCACAGTGAGGGGTTTTTTCACTGCCAGTGCTCTCTGCTTACAATGTCCTTTCCCCAGATATCCCCTATGGTTAATTAATTCCCTTACTCTCCTCAAGCCTTTACTTAAGCTAACATGTAAGTAAATGTTAGTTTCTCAATGAGGCCCACCTGGCAGTCCTTCAAACCGCAGTGTGTGCTCCAACCTCCGCCACAGGGGCCCCATTTCCCTTCAACCTGCTCTCCTTCTTTCTAACACCATGATTTTTTCACCTCTTCTAACACCATGTCAATTATTATTGTCATGTTTATTCTTTATTGTTTGATCTTCACACTTGAATATAAACTCCAGAAAAATGGATCATTATCAGTTATGTTCACTGATGTAACCCAAGTGTAATAGGCACTTGGTAAATATTTGTTGACTATGAATAGCACTTACTACCCAAACTCATACTTCCTTCTCTTTTTCCATTACTAAATCATGAGCTTTTCTAATGCAGAGAACATATGTTTCATCTCTGATCTCAAATACCCAACACAGTTCCTGCTTTAGAATGGACATTATATAAGTGTTTACTGAAGGAATAAGGAATGAGAAAACAATAAGGAGATAATATGATTCTATTTTGTTAAAATTTAGTGTGTGTATTTTGTTCATTTACAAATGAATTTCAAGATAGAAATTACTTCTAGAATGGTTTTTTTTTTTAAGCTAAACACTATCTGTTTGTATCATTGTATTTGAGAGCGAGAAACTTAAAACCAAACAGCCTTAGTGTTGGATCTCTTACCTGTCACTGTTTTATAGAAGGAGCCCCCAAGACTGAAAGGGATTTGCCCAAGGTCATCATCCATTATCTGGCTAGTGGCAGCAGCCAACACTGAACTCCAGGTCACTGGGTCCAGTGCTACTTTTGTGCATATACAAAGAACCTCAGAAGCTAAGGGCTTTGATCCCAAACTCCTACCGTAGTTCCTGACACACATCAGATAGTGATGGAATGTTCATTAAAGGAATGAGAGATGATCAATCAGTAGGTTTGTAATAGGCTTCTTTTCGAACTCCATTTTATTTATCTCCTTAATGCTCCTGGGCCACTTTTTCAATTATTTGGAGTTAAAGTGGTTCATAAAACACCCATAATTTGGAAGCTGAGCCTTAGAATCTCAACCTTAGGACATTAAAAGAAGTTTCAAAGCATTTTTTATTAGTACAATTTTTTCATCTGAAAGAGCCATGTCATCCAGAATTCTAAAATAAATATTTAAATGAGAATTATGTCTAGTGTCATGTGATCTTCAAACTTGCTTTGAATAAAATTTCATGAGTTCATTATGTAAAAGGAAAGCTTAAACTACTCTAGACAGTTAAAAGCAGAGGAAACAGAGAAGGCTATTAAACATTTAAAGAAATGCGATATCACTGTCATTTTGTGTGTTCACAGTACAGTATAATTTCTCTCACATTTTATTCTGAGACCAGTTCCAGAAAGTGGAATAGAATATAATCATAAAGTTACAAAAGGCTTTCCTCAGAAATGAATTTGCCCCTGCTCTTCACTTGACAGAGGTGGAAATTGAGGATGTCAGTATTATTATCTTCACTTACTGAAGCACAGAAAAGTGAGCTCAATTGTCAGGGTGATGTGGTAAGCAGAGTACATCCAATTCTAAAGAAAGAGTTCCCACTTACTGAACACACTGCCAGAGGTGCTCCAAGACATATGCAGGGTTGAATAGGCCTTATCTTGGGCATAACATTTATAACATTCCTCTAAGTGATTCGCAGGGTTGAGCTAAAACCTTTGATAATGGAGAAATTGAGAACTTGACAACAGGAAATTTATGAAGATCGCATGATAGGTAACTGAACAAACCACTAGGATCTTAATTTAGTCATTCATTCCACAGATATTTTTAGACTTTATGCTGCGGCCTAGGGACCCAATAGTAAACAAGACAGATGCAGCCCCTGCTTCGTGGAGCCTACACCCGCATCCAGGTGCCAAATGCAGGATTACTGGGGGCTGCAATATGAGGGTCTTGAGTTCTGTTTCGGTTTCAATTTTTGTTTTGGATTGGAAAATGTTGTGTATCTTATGCCCAGATAAAGTCTAAACTCATTAGACAAATCTTACTCTAAGGTCTTGACTTATGAGCAAGAAGGACAGCTTCCTGTTACTGCTGGACTGGGAGTCATAATAGGACTGGATAACGGCACACACAGCTCTGGCTTTTTTGTTCATTTGGTTGGTTGCTTCCTTTCCTTTCCTTTCCTTTCTTTTCCTTTCCTTTCCTTTCCTTTCTTTTCCTTTCCTTTCCTTTCCTTTCTTTTCCTTTCCTTTCTTTTCTTCCACACTCATCTCTTGACATAAGCGAAGAGACAGACTGTTGAGACTCTGAGATCAGAGAAGACCTGGAGCCTGATAAAGATGGTCCAGTCTTGTCCTAATGTTGACAGTTCCTCACACCCAGAAGAGGGGCAGAGGCAGCCGATGGGGTGTCCAGCCTTCCTGCTCACGCTCACCT